CTATCTCCTCCATCGTCGTCGAAGCTCTCTCCGCCGCCTCTCTCTCCTCACCATCGTCTCTCTCTCCTCTGTTTTCCGACGAGTAGATCTACTTTCTCTCTCCAAGGCTGCCGCCTCTCTCTCCTCCAGCGTAGCGGCGTTCGCTAGAGAATCGCCTCGCAGATCGCCGAGAGAAAATCGTCTCGCCGTTTGATAGACCGATAATCATACATGTTTTCACCCCTATTCGGAAGTCGTTTGTGATGAGGAATCTCGTATTTTAAGCCGATTTTACGCTAGGTTGTGTGTTTATGTCATATTTCAGGTCCTGGCGTTGGAATCGAGGCGAAGGAACGAGTTCTGGATCGAAAGGAGCGAAGATTGGACAAAGGATGCTGCTGGACCAAAATACCCGGTCAAAGGAAGAAATACCCGACCGGGTATATTCTGGCCTCGACCGGGTATTTCCTCCTTCGGGCACCCGTGAGAAGCAGAAGGGGGCCCGGGCGATGGCGATAAATCCCCGGTCGGGGATTTTGGTGGTAGACCGGGTATTTTTCCCTTAGTCAGACGGTGCGTTTCATAAAATACCCGGTCGAACCATAAAATACCCGACCGGGTATTTTGACCGGGTATCGCGACAGGCAGCTGATAAAACAGGAAGAAGGCCAATTTTCAAAGGGTTCCGAGTTTTTGAGAGAGAAACCGATACCTAGAGAGAGAAAGCGTCGAACCAGAGTTCTCAAGCGCTATAGATCGATCTTCAACACCATTGGAGCCCGTCTTGAGCTTGGAGAAGTGCGATTAAACGTCCAGAAGCAGGAATCCAACTTCACAGTATGATTTCCGTGTCTGAATCTGCTTTTGCTTCTTTCTCTATGGAGTAGTTTCCCCATTCATCTGGGTATGGAGAACCCTAGATTTGTATGCTAGGTCTGATTGTATGAACCCAAGTACAGTGTTTGTGAATTGATTATATTCGATTGAGGTTTGATTGATTGAATGACTTGAATCCTGATCAAATTCCTGTTGTTTCTGCTTTAACCTGGAATGAGAATATCTGCCTAGGTTGATAGAGTACCCTTAATCGAAGGTAGCGAATTGGTGACTTTAGTCGAGGAGCCAATTCGCTATTCTGTACCGAAGTCGATTCGGTAGCGGAGGTTTGGTTCATTAGGGCCTCAATCTGTTTACTCCGGTGGAGGTTAGTCGCCCGCTAGAGACTCAGATTGAGAGGGTCTGGAGACCTTTAGTCGAGACTTCAGGCTAATTGAGAACCTTCCGCAGTATAACTTTCATGAAAACTGAACTTGGTAAAATGCAATCCGACTTAACTGCAGTCTAGGGGGAAACCATATCCGGGTGACCTCTCTTGACTTGACAACAAACCGTTTACTTGCTTTGTGTTTTGTTTGCTTGAGTTTCACTAAAAGTTCACCGCTAAATAACAAGAATTCACCGAGTAGTCATCACATCTAGGACCTGGGTTGACATTAAAACCCGACCCGCTATACTACGCTTTAGGAAGTGGTTATACTTGGCCATTTTCTAGGGTGACAGTAGGAGTGAGTCACCGTTGCTGGAGAATCGCCTCGCCATTCGCCGGAGAAAATTACCTCGCCGTTCGCCGGAGAATCGCCTCGCCGTTCGCCGTTGCTGGAGAAAATTGCCTCGTCTCTCTCTCTGGACAATACAACGGGAAAGGAAGAGAGAATTGGAGAGGGGGAAAAGGAAAAAATAAATAAAATGGAAAACAAGATTTTTTTTTTAAATGCCAAAACTACCCCTCTGATTAATTATTAACCCTTCCTTAGTCACCAGATCCGGACTCTCGTTGTTATGGCGACGGATGTGGACAAATTAAAGCACCGGATAACACGAAGGATGCGTCCTGCTGAAACCTCTTCCTCGCCAAGCATAAAGAACCAACTTGAAAGAAGTTACTCCGGTGTGGACTGGGCCGTCGGCATGGGATAGTGGAGACTGGAGAACTACAAAATATCGGACTCCAAGAATTCTTCCTTGTACGACTTCGTCACCAACACGACCATGATACTGCGATCATCGGTGGACCATGTCTCTTCAAAATGAAGTGCTGATCCAATAGGCACTGATAGAATGATAAAGTGCCATTTTTTTTACATAATATATAGTTCAGCATAGATTTTATTGTTTTATTTATTTAATTGATCCATTAGTTTTATATGGATAATAATAATTAATTAAGACGAAAATTTTGTTTTATATATATATATAAATGGTGGTGTCTTCGGTGCACTCACTTTTTTGTGTGCATTCAGTGCTTCCGCCTCATAATCGCTATTTTGAATAAGCGATTCATGTCAAAACGATTCAATCATTACTTGTTACATGATAGACATGAACCCCATGAATTTACAGAAGAAATCATTAAATATATACTTTGATTTGAAGGATTTCAGATTTAGGGATTTAGGGTTAGGGTTCACATTTTGGGATTTTGGGTTGGTGTTCAAAATTGAAGGTTTAGGGGTTAAGGTAATTGATTGATTAGTTGTAATCATTTATTATATCATCGTATTATACTAATGCTACCAGTTAAAATTCAAAATTTGATGTCTATGACTAACTTTAGAGTTGAGTGCATTCAATACACCCAAAAAAGTGAGTGCACCGAAGTAGCCACCATATATATATATATATATATATATATATATATATATATATATATATAGTGACTTCTATTTTACACTAGATAAACGTTGGTGTATGTCGTACATCATGAAATCTCCACGTAAGCGTCCATCTCAATAGTCAGCATGAATGCGATAATTTATTTTATAATCTCAGGAAAAAAATAGAACCCACATTTGTGCATCTATAGTGAATGTACGACATATACCAGTTTCTTTCCTAGAGTACATTATTTGAAAATATTTTCCCCCACATATTATATGAGGTAAATGATTCACCACATATCTATCGAACAATTGAAAGTTAGAAGAACCGATTGCGGTTTGGAAGAAGTTGTGGGCTTTGACGATCCCTCCTAAGGTAAAACATTTTATGTGGCGCTTTATGAGAGATATCTTAGCAACGGGTGATCATATTAGTACAAAGAGTACGAAGGCAGTGGACAAATGCCCGCTTTGTGACTTAAAGGAACCCCAAAAACACCTGTTTGGAGAGTGTGGATGGACCACGCGGATATGGAGGCCTACGAGTTATGCTGATTACTTCTCTTTGTAGTTCTTCTGATGATTGCTACCCGTGGGCTGCAAGTGTTATGGATAAAGGGAATGATTCAAAGCTGGAGGCGTGGTGTGTTGTTCTATGGTTTCTATGGAAGGAACGAAATGCTCAAATGTTTAATGGACAAAAGCTAGCTGAACAAGATATCATCCCAAGAGCTGAGCTATTTCTTGAAGAGTACAGGGCCGAACAGGGAAGACAGACAGCTATCCCAAATTCGCCACACGAGGATGGCTAGAATCCTCCGCCGCCAGGAAGTGTGAAGGTCAATACTTATGCGGCGAAGCAGGGCGACACTGACGTTGGACTTGGAATGGTTGCACGAGGTCCGCATGACGAGTTTATTATGGCTGCGGCTATGAAGGTCATGGGGAACTGGACGGTTGCTGAAGCAGAAGTAATGGTTGTCGAATTTGGGGTGCAACTTGCTCACCAACACCGCCTACATAACGTCATTGTGGAAACGGATAGCCTTGAGACAACCACAAAGCTGGCCGAAGCGGATTGCATCCAGTCGGAGATAGGAGTGATTTGCAGAAATGTTCGGCGATTGCTGGGAAGTACGGGAGAAACTAGTTGGCGACATGTTAGACGTACGGGAAACGAGGTTGCTCATATCATGACTCATTCAGACGCAAGAGTTTATGTCCACTCAGTTTGGCATGACAGACCCCCGATTTTTCTGATTGATGAGTTAGCAATGGACAATGTAACCATAAATATTGATCAATAAGAAGTGATTACAGATTTCCAACAAAAAAAATCTCACGCATACTTTTTAGTTCACTGTCATTAATTATGATGCACTAATTAACCGGTTATTAATTACTTTGTAAACATAGTGGGTTGCCCTAATTAACCTGGACAATCTTACAAAAAGGATTGAAACGATAACGTATCGGTAATTCAACGAGAAAAACCTATATTTAGTAGGATGAAACGATTGAACTACGATTTGATATAAAACACCATACTGCTAACTTTTCCGGTACAAGTTATTTCAATCCTTAAAAAAAGAAAACAATTAACATGGACATAAATTATAATTTTGGGATACCAAAAAGCACCAGCCACATGGGGGCAGGCGGGGGCCAAAACGCGCTTCGGTTTCAGTTGGCAACCTTCTCTGCAGTTTTCTGGTCGCCGGGGGTTTTTTTTATTTATGACGAGGAACACCCTCCACGGTCACCACCTTTGATGATGCCGTAGTCGGGCCAAACCCCGGGACATCCACCAGCAGTCTGGGCAAATGCGGGGTGCCTCCGGAAACACCATGGTGGCGGTGAGGATCGAACCTGGGACCTCTCGGTCACTAGTTCGCCTTCCTTACCACCAGGCTATGTGACCTTTGGCGTCGCCGGGTTTCCCTATTGCACGTAGCGCCTGGTTCCGGGCAGAGCTCATATGTTTCCGTTGCTGCAACTATATTTTGCGATCAGTAGTAGGGCTGGCAGAATGGTTTCCGGTTAGCAGTTAACCGTTTGGTTACGACCGAACCGACCGGTTACGACCGAACCGACCAGTTTTCGGCTAACCGAAAATCGCTCTGTATTGGCGTCGGTCGGTTGCCGGGGGAGAGGGGGAGAGCCTCGGCTAGCCGATTAACCGCGGTCAGTAACCGGCGGTTAACCGGCTAACCGACGACCCCGCAGCCTTTCCCAAAACGACCCCTTCCCCACTTTGCCCACTCGCCACTACCGACACTCTCATCCCCTCCCCAATCTCTCCCCTCTCTTCCCACGAGAAATCTAACAACTCGGATCTCATCACCACCGCTCCCAAATCTTAATCCCCACCGTCCATTCTCCCCCCAAAACAAAACTTCTGTCCCCTCCCTTTCTGTACAGTCATCTCCTCCTCTCCCCAAATTCCCCCAATTCTCATCCAGATCTATCCATTCCCAATCTCCCACGCACCCCATCTTCACCGGCGGCGATGGTGGAAGCGCAGTCATGGGCGACCCGGCGGATGAGCAATCCGAGGCTACTCGACCACACCTCCACCACCGCCACCACCAACTCCTCCTCTGCCGCCTCCGTCCCGGCCGACGACCAGGCCCTCGACATCCCCGCCACTCCCCCGCGGGACGTCAGGGGAAACAATGCCTACTACTACTCCACCTCCGCCGTCGGATCTTACTTCTCCCCCACCTTCGTCACCGCCTCAATCTACGCTGTTCCCGTCGCCGTCAACGGAGAGGCAGAGGGAATGGCGATTTAGGGAGAGGGCAGAACGAGAGAGGTGAGGGAGGAGGAGGCAATTTGGTTGGCGGCAAGGGTTTGTCGATTTTCAGGGGTAATTAGCATAAATAGTCACAAACCTTTGCACTTAATACAAAACAGTCACAAACCTTTAATTTGTAACCATTTGATAACAAAACTTTTTACTTAGAACAAAACGGTCACAAATTAAACAGTGTGACCATTTCATACTAGTTCAAACTTTTGTTACCGTGTCGTTGCAAATTAGACTTTTGGTGACCGTTTTGTACAAATTAAGTTCAAAAGTTTGAACGCTCAATCACCGTTACAATTGGCAATGGCTCACAAACGGGTTTTGGACTGCTTTTTAGTTGAAAAAACTCTGTCTACTTTCTTACTTTCTTGGTATCGAAATTGAAAGTTCAACTCGAGGGCATTCTTATTCGGCAAAGCAAATATGTCGATGAACACATGACCTGACATCTTATATGTCGTTCAAGTGGTTAGTTTCATATACTTAACGAACAAACTACCCGACCTCAAAACATGACAAACATTTCATTTGTAACGATTCGGTAACAAACCTTTGCACTTAAAACAAAACGGTCACAAATTAAATAGCGGTGACCATTTTATACAATTTCAAAGTTTTGTTACCGTATTGTTACAAATTAAAGGTTTGTAACCGTTTTGTACTAAGTGCAAAGGTTTGTTACCATTTATGCTAATTACCCCGATTTTCAGAGAAAGGAAGAAGAGAATCGAGATTCGACAGAGAGTAGGGAGAGAGATAGGTGTTAGCGGCGGGTTTCTCTGGAAAAGGAAGAAGAAGAATCGAGAAGTGTGAGGGGTTAGGAGTGAGTGGTGCAGAATTTTTAGTTTTTTTTTTTTTTTTTTTGAAAAGGTTGTTTTTCGGTTGGCTGGCTAACCGAACCTAAAACCGAAACCGGCCGGTCACTTGACAGGCTGACCGTGACCACTCTCACGATCGGTGGTCGGCAGGTAGAGGGGGTGGCTCGGTTTAACCGATAACCGAGTTTTCGGTTAAACCGAAAACGACCGACTCCCACTCCTAATCAGTAGTCCGCAAAAAATAATTTTGGTCGTTAGTGAGACCAAGTCCATCAAGGGCAGCGCCATAGTTCAATGAAACACTTCTCCCACATCATCAAAGGAGAACAAGATCAAAGGACCTTTCGTTCTGTTGTTAATCAATGAGAATGGAATAGCTCCAGGGACCAACCGTTATAATTCCCCCCCATCACCGCAGCAAGATTTCTCAGCAAACCCACTTCTTCCCCTGTTATCTGCAGGCCACAAAACAGAGTAATCGAAATGTCTCACCTCCGCCAAATAATCCTCCGCAATCTTACTCCCTCCTTCGCCCTCACCGTCCGCCGTTACTTCTGCCGCTTCCCTGCTCGTTTAATCTCCGCGACCCGCCGTTGCTCGCCTTATCTCCCCGCCAAACAATCCCACCTAACCTTACTTCCTCCCTCAGGCTTTTCTACCACTTCTTCCCCTGTTCTCTGTAGAACACAAACTACCGCTCCTCACTCCCCACAAATCCAAAGCTCCAACCCATATTCCCACTTCGTCAAAACCACTGACGAAATACAAATCTCTCCACCGCCGGGCTCTGTTCCCGCCACTTCCCTCCCGCTCACATTCTTCGACATAACATTTCTTGGCGTTAAACCCATCCAACGAGTCTTCTTCTACAATATCCCAAACTGCAACGTTCCCCACTTCCGCCAAACAATCCTCCCCAATCTAACTTCCTCCCTCTCCCTCGCCCTCCGTTACTTCTACCCTTTTGCTGCTCGCCTCGTCTCCCCGTCCCAACCCGGAAAGCCCTACATCCGCTACTCCGATGGCGACTCTGTTTCCCTCACCGTCGCCGAGACCGCTCTCGACTTCGACCAAGTCTCCACCGACCTCCCAAACGACGCCGCCTTGCTCCACACTCTTCTCCCAAAACTCCCTCCCGCCGAATCAAAGCCTGACGACGACGGCGCAATCGTGGCACCGCTTCTCGCCGTGAAGATCACTCTGTTCCCGGACTCTGGCGTCTGCATCGGGTTCGAATTTCTCCACGTGGCAGCCGACGGGTTGGCTTTCAGCAATTTCGTGAAATCCTGGGCTTCGATTTGCAGGTCCGGGGGCGAGGACTCGAGCTGGGTCGAAAACTCGCCGCCGTGCCTCGACCGATCGTTGATCCACGACCCGAGAAATCTGAAGGACATTTTCACCGAACAAGTGTGGAATTTTGCGGAGGCTTGGCAGGACGACTCGATCCTATGTAAACATTCGGGTAAGGTCCGTGCGACGTTCGCGATTGACAGAGAAGATATATCCAGGCTGAAAGCCGTGGTGAATCGCGACAATTTCGGCGACGGCAAACAGCTTCCACCGGCCTCGGCATTTGCAGTGACGAGCGCTTTGATATGGACCAATTTGATGAAATCCCTAGATCTCGTAGAAGAAAAAGCAGGGGAGGACGGCGGCGGCGGCGAGAAAATCGACAGCAACGTGATTGTGGCAGATTTCCGCGGCCGTCTCGACCCCCCGCTCCCGGCGACCTACTTCGGCAACTGTGTCGGGGTAAAGATAGTGTCGGTGAAGCGGAGACAACTGCTGGGAGACGACGGCTTCGTGGTGGCGGCGAAGGCGATCACGGCGGGGGTTCAGGGGCTCGGAGAGGAGGCGTTGGAAGATGCGGAGAAATGGATAACGGGATTTGGGGAAGCTTTCAAATTTGGGAAAGTTGTGACGGTTGCCGGATCGCCGAGGATGCGGGTTTACGAGTCGGATTTCGGGTGGGGGAGGCCGAGGAAGGTGGAGCCGGTGCAGATTGACACGTCCGACACGGTTTACATCTCCGATGCGAGAGATGAGGAAAGGGGCGGGCTTGAGTTCGGGTTGGTGCTGAGAAAGGATGAGATGGACACATTTGTGACTTTGTTTGAGAAACTTTTGAACCAACTACGTCAGGTTGATTGAGGCAAGAAATGAATAATCCTAATATCGCAGCTGGTTTAATAAGGTGAATTTTGATTTACAAATCGGTGCGGAAAGTTATGGTTTGCGTAATAATGCTCTCTTATGAGATAAACGATAAATTTCGCATATTAGGATCACAGACCAAGTCATCGTTGTATTTAGTTCGGTTGGTGGGACCTAAAAGTTAAAATATGCTTTGTTTTTTTTCAATATTTAACGAAATCAAAGACGGAATGACATTATATTCGGTTTGGTATATGATATAGTCGAAACGTCAGTTTGCAAACCCCTGCTTCATAGACAAGGTTGCAAAAGCCCAATCCCTATTGGGCATTGTGATACCGAACCAACTCACGATGGTTTTCTTCTTCTCTGATCTTGCAATCTTAAGTCCAAACATTTGGACCTCTCTCTGCAGCTTTAGCCTTAGGTCACCCAATTCGTGAGGTTAGCTCTCATGATCCCGCTCTAAAGCGGGAAAACGCATTTTTTTGGGTAATTCACGAAAAAGTCGCGAATTATTTATACTTGGAGCGCGAATCTGATCCACGAGAGCACGATTTCTTGGAGCACTGCCATATAAGAGGTGAAGAGGGCCAATAAACCGTCGGCGATAGCTTTGAGTATGAGTTGTCGCTGCTATGTTTTGGTGTACATGAAAACAGAGATCAAACTTATGATTGATTCCTCGGGTCCACTAGGCTTCAGTACAGCTGGAACTTTGCCGCGATTATGATTTATTTCGTTGATGGAGACGACTATGATGCGGAAGCTGGTGTCAGAGTGATGCAACGACGACAGGGTTCGAGGGAGATTGGTAAAGTTTTAAAGTCGTCTCTGTAATTTGAATTCTTAGTGAAGAAGAACAGAGGTTTAACTCCGCCTCTCGTGTTGTTTCAATGAATTAAGTTTAACTCACGTTCTTAATATTGAATTCTTAAAAAAATTGACGCTCTCCGCTATCACACTGGGGCTCCGCTTCACGCTGGTTACCTAACTTTAGCCTGTGGACTCAAGACTTTGCCATTCCACCATTTCTAATTTCTGACCGTCCCTCCCTCACTGTATAGAATGCCGCCTCCTGATTAGACATCTTTGAGTCTTTTCTTAATTTGAAAGTGACACGTTGAAATTCATGGCATACGATCAAATCATATTTATAATTATACCCACCACCCAACAAATCAAACCGATCTATAACAAACAAGTGACCCCATCCTAATCACCCCATTCAAACCCAATCCAACCAACTCAATTGAAAAACTCCCCTGACCACCCCTCGCAACAAATTAACGGTAACAATCCAAATCCAAACCCCGTACCAAAAAAAAAAAAAAAAAAATTAATAATAAAACAAAGCAAACACGAGAATTGAAATGAACACATAACAGTGATAACACTCTTTGCTCGATGATTGTGGCCGTACAACGTTACGTGATATACTAAATCAAATTGCAGACAAATGATCACACCATTAAGGTAAAGACCTGTTTGCTTTTATGCTGCAAAGGGCAGAGACAATCGAGCAGAATGAGACCTCGCAAGCGGTGGCTTCTTATGGCTACTATTCATCGCCGCCGCCGCCCGGCCATTCACATGCCCCGCCGCCATATTAACACCCCGCTGTCCCTCTCCTCCTCCACCAGTCCTCATCGGTTGCGGCCCCACGCTCACCGCCTTCTCGCACCGACAGCTCAACAACCCTCCCCTCTTCTTCCCTCCTCCTCCTCCTCCGCCGCCGCCGCCGTTCCTCGCTGTCTCCGCCGACGGCTCCACCTGCCTCATCATCATGAACCTGACCTCGTCCGCCTCCGACGCCGTTACGGAGTAATTCGTCACGCTCGCCCTGTCGAACCCTTCCGCCGTCACCACGCTCCACGCGATGCTCGCCTCGCTCGGCTCGTAACACTCCGTCGCCGCCGCCTCCTCCTCGTTCTCCTCCTCTTCCTCTTCCACGCGCTCCCTGTACGCGCCCCCTCCTCCTCCCCCGCCGATTCCGCTCAATCTCCGCGCGTTGAACGTCGACGCGTCCTCCATCGAGTCACGGCGGTTGCTCCCGTTGAGCTGGTACGACGTCGTCTGCGTGGAGAAGCTCTCGATCTCGAAGAGGTCCGAGCTGGCGTCGCTCGCCATGTCGTCGTCCGTCGCCGCCGCCGTCATTCGCGACCTGGGGCTCGCCGGGAAAGTGAAGCTCTGCCGCTTCGGCGGCTCCAGCCCTAGCTTCACCGCTGAATTGCCGCCGCCGACAATCACCTCCTCCGCCGGGCGGAACACCTCCAGAGACTCCCGCGGCGGGTCCTCGAGGATCGACAGCTTCGGCTTCAGCACCAATTTAACCGGCGGGGCCGCCGCCGCAGCAGATTGGCTCAGAATCGGGAAAGTGAATCCCCCTCCGCCGCCAATCGAATTCCCTTCGGTGGAATTCGGCGGCAGGACGACGCGGTGGTGGCTACCGAACCTGGTAGTCTCCGCCGAGATCCTCCGTACAGAATTAGGGATTTCAATCTCCCGTCGCTCCATCCAATCAATTGAACTCGGGGCGGAGCTGCAATCGCTCTTCTCGACCCGACCCGGGAACGAATTAGGGATTTTCGGGATGTTATTATTGCTGTGATCATTACTATTACTCCCCTGCCTCTTCACCATCGCACTCACCGTTACCCTGTTATTCGGAGCTAAATGGGACATCGGAGTTCTGGGTTCCGACATCTTCTCCTCCACCTGAACCGACTTCTTGCCGGAGCAAGGGCACCTCCGTCCAAGAATCCATCTCTTCGCCGACCCTCTCTTCCTCTGATCATCGGCGACGGAGCCTTGGGGGTGCCTCACCGACACAGCCAAGGCCCCCGGCGGGTTCGACAGCAGCCCGGTCTGGCTGTTCCAGCTGGCCTCCGACGAAGCCGTCGGCGTGGCGTGGAACGACCCGGTACGGTAGGCCCGGTTGGCGTATCCGTACCCATCCACCGACGAGGAAGCGGACGAGAATCGGGGCGGCTCGGAAACGACGACAGCGGAGTTATTGCTATTACCATTAGCAACAACAGGGGATACTCTGTTAATACCGAGCTTGGGATTCTCAGCCTCGCTGTTGAAGTACTTGGTGGCGTCGAAAATGCTGATCTCGGCGGAATCGTCGATTGGGTTGCTGCCGGGCTGGAGGTAGGAGGAGAAAGAAGCGTCGAGGACCGCCGGTGGAAGTTTCTGGGAGAAGGGGAAGTAAGGAGATGGGGTGGATTCTACTCCTCCCCGCCGCCCTGGGATTGCTCTCATGGTTGTGGGTCTTTCCATGTTGGATTTTGTTTAATGGTGGATATGGTGATTCTCTGGTCCAGGCCAAAAAGAAAAAAAACAGAGGTGTACTGCAGAGCATGTAACAGGGGAATGTTTGAGATGTATGGCGGAGAAGCTCTGGTTGAAGACTGTGTGGGCAGAATGGGGAAGGAGGAGGGATTGAAAGTATGGTGTGGTTCCTCAAGTTGCAGTCTTTGGCACTGGTGAATGAATATAATGTAGAGGGAGAGGTAGGGTATTGAAGAGACATTCCAGAACATGGCGATCAGATAATCGAAGCTGTAACATGTTTGTTACCCTGGACAGAGACACTTGAATGTTTATTTCGTTGTAGAAGTAGAGAGGTGTAATGTGACGTCCGAATACATTCATGTATCTTACGGGAGATTTTCTTCTTGTGCTAGTTGGTTCAAGATTGGGTATACTTTGGTGGATGATCAGGTGATCAAACAAATAAGAGTCAATTACGTCACTTTCTCTTATAATCTCACTGAATAGTTTGTGACATGATTTTCCTCTAGTGAATGTAAGGAAAATAGATGATCTACTTTTCTTTAAGCCTGTAAAGGATTAGACAAATAATAAACGATAGAGTTCGAATTATTTGTCGATCGCCGTGTTGATAAAGTGAGTGGAAAATCGGGTTTGTTTGGTAGATTATAAATATATAACTAATACTATGTGAGTGTGACGTTTGAGAGGTGAATTCGACCAACACTGAAAATTATTCTTCCTACTAAACAAGTCTCGGTAGAAACATGAAGTATAAACAAATTGAAGTTATATGCCGATGTAATAATGCAATTCTTTCACCCTTCTTCCCATTCAAAAAGTTCATTCGTCTCGTCAAAGTTTTGGTGTAAATAATGGTCAACTGGTGAATAAAAAAAATTGAACGAAAATGAGATCACATTCAGTCGAATTTTCCAATAAAGAAGATAAAAGAAGAATAACTAGTAAGAAATTAACAACAACAAAAAAAAAAAGAAAACAATTGATAGAAGGCAATTAGCAATTCCATATCAAGAACAACATAATTTTTCAAATTAACAAAATCCCTAATAACCCGTTTACCCACTTAAAGTAACTAACACACAAACCTTTACAAATTCCTTCCAACTCCTCCAACATGACAACTCCACCTAATGTCAAATCTATACATTATTACAATCCGTTTACGAGTAAGTAACAAAATGTCATGGCGGGGGCATTCGGATCACAAATCATGTTCATGCATGAGATCTCGCCACATCTTTCCTTCTGACACAAGAACCACGAACTTTGTGTATTACGCCAACACCTAGACATATCTCATTTGATCAACCAAACAAACACGAATGTCTATTGATTCGACAAACAGATGCATATCTCAAATCCCAAGACCACAAATTGAGGGTCCGCCTCTTTGAAACCAGACTTCGATACCGCTTGTTGAGATCGGGATCCACCAAACTTACGTCCACCATCCTGAATCCAGACTTCAAAACCATAATCTAATACTACTTGTTGAGAAAGAGGTCCACCAAACTTACGTTCACCGTCCCAAACCCAAAACGCAAAAATAAAGATCCCACGAATTTTCAAATTTTCAATTCCCCGATAACCAGTTTACCTATTTAAATTAACTACTTAACACACGAATTATAACGCATTCCTTATCCTTCCAACTCCTCCAACGTCGCAATCCAACCCACCCATTGTCAAATCTCTACATTATTATTACAATCCGTTTACTTAGAATTAGTAACAGAATGGCATGGCGGGAGGCATTAAGATCACAAATCATGTTCGTGCATGAGATCTCGCCACATCTTTCCTCTGCCCAGGTCCCACCTCCGCACCCTGACAAAAATTCCCAACGAAGACTGAAGAAAAATTTGGGTATCTGATTACGAACCAACACCTCCCTCCTCGCTGCTCTGTTAACATCGACGTTAGACTTAGCAAAACCACCAGAGGGAAAACTACTGAAATGCCCACAAATCTCAGAGTAAGGTCAGTCTCTATATGACTAATATCTTTGCGACAAAAGTCCAGCCTAATAGTTGCCAATAATAAGGAACATGAACCGTAGGCAGGCAGATAGCTTCCAAAAAACAGAGAGCATGAAGCATGTTCGTGCTCTGTTTTCTCCATCCCCTGCTTGCCCTACCTTGATCAACCAAAACTATTTGCAAAGTGTCCGAAGAACGTTCGAGCATTTCTGGCCACAGAACCGCAAGCAGCCAGCGGAGTTTTATAATATGCAGGACTGAAACTGATTATGTGAGAATAATGTGTGTTGCGGAGTCGCATTTGCTGTACCAACTGGAATACGATCTCTTCCCAACATTGCATACGGTACTTGATTTGGATAACTCTCTAACACCCCCAATCATTGATCATTTATTGAATGAGGGAATTTCATTCTCTAAGACTTTAGATATAATCCAAACCTTTTTCTTTTTACAACCAATTCATTAGGATTTCATATCAATATAGGGATTTCCTATGGTGACTTGAAGTAAGGTGACTTGAATATTTTTACCTGCTATAGCAGGTTTCACAGGTCGCATTACGTAAAACACAACAGGTGTTACGTAATGGTTACGTAATATATTCTTATCTTACGTAACAGTTGTAAAAGGTCATTACGGAAGCCTTACGTAATGGACGGTCTTCTTACGTAATGAATATTCACTATGCATTACGTAAAGTGTTAAGTCATTACGTAATCCTTACGTAACGCTTCAAATATAACTGTTACGTAAGAAATAACGGTTGTTTGTTAACTTTACGTAATGAGTGTGTATTTTACGTAACAGTTGTAATAGTGCCATTACGGAAGCCTTACGTAATAAACGATCATTTTACGTAATGAATACATTTGCGTTACGTAAAGTGATAAGTCATTACGGAAACCTTACGTAATGCTTCTGATTTAACTGTTACGTAAGAAATAACTATCATTACGTAACCTTTACGGAATATATGTGTATTTTACGTAATAGTTGTAAAATCTCGACAAGGAAGACTTACGTAATGAACGGTCCTTTTACGTAATGAAAATTAACTTAGTGTTACGTAAAGTATTAAACCATTACGTAAGTCTTACGTAAAACTTTTGATTTAACTGTTACGTAAGAAACCATTATCGTTCCATAATCTTTACGTAATAGATATGTAGTTTACGTAACCGATGTAATTAAAAAGAGTAAGAATTTAAAAAAAAAATATGAAAAAGGAAAAAACAAAGCAAACGTGAATGTGAAAAAGGAAAAAAAAACAAAAAGAAGTTAAAAGGGGAAAGTGGTGACCGGCGGTGCTGATTGCCCGTCTTTCTTTTTTGTTTTTATTTTTTTAATCAATGGCTTAAAATAATTTCAATTTATTTTAACGGTCAAGATCTATACAAGTTACCTAACTTGAAATTATACCCAAGTTACCATAGGAGATCCCATCAATATATTCTTACTTTGTGCTCTATTCTTTTAACGTGAAAAAATTTAACTAGTCACATGAATCAACTTATGTACATGGGCATAACCCCTTTTTTTTTTTAGCAAGCTGATCATGTAATTCATTTGGGTTTCTCTCGTAATATCATCAATTACATAATCTTATTGATTACTCCTTATCCCGTAATTGATGGTGCGATTCGCCCCGGAACCTATGAGAGAAACTTATCCCCCCCTCCCTCTTTCCCTCCTTGTTGATTGAGTATAGTCTATCCTCAAACAACTACCAAAAAGTTCATGCTTACGTTACTGTTACTGACGGTTTAATTATCGTTGGTCACGAAGACCCGAATATTGCTTCTGGTTTCCATTCTCATCATCATATTGATGATAAATCTCCTCGTGCTCTGCCATACGACTGTAATTCTTGCTAAAATAGGAAGTATTTATTATTTTAATCATATAAATAGAATTGCACTTGTGTTTTTTTTATATAGAAATTATGGCATCGCAACTTTTCCCATAAAGACACCTTATTTGTGATTTAAGCACATCATGATATGACATTTGGAGGTGACTGGACTTTATCCCTAAATTTGGCTTTACTTTTCCTCAATCAATTTCAATTTATGTGGAACAAAAATATACATTGAAATATCTCAGGATTTCTTGATCTTGTTACTTGGTCTATCAAGAGTTATATTTTCCTTCAAAACAATAATCAAAAGTTCTGGACATATCATTTCCACACCAACTCTAGACCTTGCTTTCTTGCTAATTGTAATATTTTAAACAATATTCAATTAGTGAGATTTTTCAACAACAGTAAGAAGTGAGGTTTCTTGTCAAATCTTCTGGCAAAAAAGAACAACATACATATACTTAATATTTTACGTAAATTTTTTCAATTAACTGCAAACTGACACAAGTCAACTTATATTAGCAAATACATTTTTTTTATCGCACCCTTTTAAACAAATTCAACAAATTTATCGTCATTACAATCTCATTAATACCATTCGCACATTCTCATTCGATCACGACTTAAAGAAGCCTATTATGACGTTGCAACTTTAATTATCAAAGTAGTGTGTGACACTTTTGTTTTTTATACAAAAATAATGTCATAATCATAAAAGTAGTGTGTGACACTTCTGTTTTTTATACAAAAATTATGGCATAGCAACTTTTCCTGGAAGAAAAGACACCTGATTAGTGATTTAAGTACATCATTTCAATTCTCATGCGATAACATTTGGAGGTAAAGGCTGGATTTGACCTTCAATTTGGGTTTTCCTTCGTCAACCAATTACAGATTTACAGTTGCCTTCTCAACCGGACCAGCTCAGAAAAGGAGAGATGGGTATCCAACCCGATAGAGCAAGAATGGGCCATACTGGAAGCAAACAGAGGCCCAGTTAGCACAATCCATAACAGAATCAACGAGTGGAAGAACTCTGCTGATGAAGCAGAAGTTATAAGTTGCAACTTCAACTTATAACTTCAGAGTTCTCCGACATCCCATCATCTCGTATCTATCACCTCGAGCTAAAGAATGCTAAGAACCGGGCTTCCAAGAAGCATAAATCAACATCGAAATGGATTAACAAAGAGCTTCTACAATAGAGCTGACTGGCAATGAAGAATAGTATCCTTTCTAAACATTAGGATACAGTTACTGAGTTTAATCCACGATTCAAACTCATTCTAGCGGGGAATGAAACATCTTCCTTTACTCGCCCGAAAGAAATATACTTGGATGCCCACACTTGTCTAACTATGTTCACACAGATATAGCTGGAGGTTCAACTATCCATAAGAAAACTATCATAGTGATCTGGAACCTCTATGTTTGGGGTGCTAACTGTTTCAATTTTGCCTGTAACACAGCCCCAGCTTCATCTGCAACTGTCTTTTTCTTCGATGCAAGCTGCAATTTTTGGATTCAACCGGTATGTTAGCACAATACTGAATAAGAATTTCGGCATATCCACCCATTAAACAACACACCGACAAGTACAAAGAACAAGTATAAAAAACACACAATTGCAGCAAACCAAAAACACTCTTCCGTCAAGCACAAAATATAATAGTTTGCCATCAGAACAATTATCAATTGCTGCAAATTGTCAAACAATGATCACTTCAGATATATAGGGCACAACAGAACTGAAATTGATTGACTTGCAAAGCTCTGCCCAATGCCTAAGGGAAGAGGTTAGTGCACAAAAGAACATACCTCGAGAAGCTGATCATAATTCGATTTCAGCAAGTGGATCTTCCTTTCGCAATAATCTTTCCCCTCGACCATTGTTTTCTAACGAGTCCACTCCAACCAACAAACGAAGAGGAAAAATGGGAAATTTTAGAAGCCATCCTAAAACCTTAAAGAGACCCAATGAACAGGCTGAATAAGAATCTGAACAACAAAGCTTCTGCCTTTCTGGTCGCCCGTGTTCCTTCTCCAATTAAGCAACAGCTCTCTAGTCTCTAGCAAGAAACTAAATGGTTCATAGCTAATTTACCAAGCAGCTATTTCCTATGAACTCCATTTTAAAGGCTGGAGACTGTTACAAAAAAAAAAAACCACAAATTTTTTTAGGTGGAGATCAAATAACTAACGAAAACTGACCTCGACGAAGTAGCCAGTGCCGATATCGACAAGGACCTTCTCGGAATCATCGAGGGTTCCAGGCACATAGAGCGATGCTGTGAGAGGGACCAGCATTTTCTTCCCTGGAAAAGCAATTGGAAGGAAATAAACAGAGCAAATTTCAAATTAGAACCAAGCTGAAACAGCGACGGAGGAAAGGGGGACAAGGAGAGAGAGAGAGAGGGAAATAATTAACCTTGGGGGCGGAGGGAGAGATCGTGGAGTGCGGCGGAAGCGAGATCGAGTCGAGTAGTGGCGGTGCGAATGTTGTTGAGGCTGTCCTGCAACAGATTGACTTCGAGATCCGTTTGCTCCTTCACCGCCTTGAGTTGTTCGACGCTCATCTTCTCCATCTCCGCCACTCTCACCGCCGGCGAAGCTGGACCTTTCGAAGATGCCATCGTCTTCCTCCACTTATGCTGCTTTGCTAATCGGCCTCGCCGCGCTTTGGGTCAAGGGTTTAGTTGGACCCGTCTCAGCCTAACGAATTTAGAATTCTGACCTTGGAAATCGTGCAAATGCCCCTATAGCTCAGTGGTAGAGCGTCAGTCTTGTAAACTGAAGGTCCGTAGTTCGATCCTGCGTGGGGGCAATTGTCTTTCTATTTTTCTGTTGTTATCGATGGAATTTTTCATATTCCTCAACTCGCTTCATTGACTACAGTCCACATATCTGTATCAGTGATCTTTTGTTTTTTTTTACTGTGCATTAAGACTGTTTTGGATCCTTGCCGGAGGAATGATCCGTTGGACCTTGGCCACCGGCAGCAGCCAGTGAGGCTACTGGAGTTTACCCGCTGGCAGAAGTCGGCAGTGGCATGGTGAAAAAAAAGGGAGAGTGTAGAAAGAAGAGAGAGGACCGACTGTGTAGCTGGATGGCTTGGACTGTCTCATTCTTAGCAGCAAGCAACAGCCTGAGTTTGTTGGGTGGTGTGGTGGCCCGATTGAATTCAACCATTGAATGAGCCACAGGTCAGGGAAAGGTCCACTGTAAGAAAAGTCTGATATTTCATTTTCCATTTTCCCTCTTTTGGGTAGCAGAGATCTGCAGGACATTGAATCCCCCATAGGACCCATTAGTCAATTATTGGATCTTAACCTCATTTGGTTTAGTTTTTTGTGGATAAGAAGGGAGAATCATCCCTACAAATAGCACCCAGAAAATCTTTCTTGACATCACCCAGGAACCCATTACCCCATGCAACCAACCAAATGCGAGCAGTCATGGTTTAGAGCTTGCCCATCACTCTGCTTTTGCAATACTGCATCCACCCATTATTATAGCCTATACATGAAGTTATCAGAGCATCTATGGCAGTGGTTGACAGCATATCAGTGAACAAGTCAGCCATATAGTCAAATAAATAGAGCAGCAGATGGTTGATTGCCTTCAAAAACTAAAAGCCTCGAGAACGAGCTATCAGTCCATCACCTGCTGATTAAAACCAGCATTCACTTTGTTTGCACCATCTACAAGCAACAGCAGCAAAGCAGCATAAAAAACTTCTGATGGTTGCCCTTAACCAAATCATCCTGCCTAAAGCTGGTCAATTTGGTGGAACCCTTACCACGGTAACTGATACTCGCAACCAGAAGCTACTACGCACATTGATCAGAAGCCGTCGTCGAGCAAATGATGCAAACCGGGTAAAGAAAACGAGGGATTAAATAGACTGAACTAATCCAAACAAACAGGTTCTTATTCACATGAAAGGGCACCCCTCCATCAAGGAACTCAATCATCAACTTACATACAAGTAACACACATTATTCTTCTTCTTCTGGACGCTGATTAATCTCTAAAATGAAATGGCTAAGAATAGTAGAATACTAGTGCTGACAAAAAGTTTCAGAGAAGAATAAAAACAAAGGTCTTACAGAGAAAAGGCATCAGAGTTCTTTCCCCAAATTCACCACACGCCTGTCTGTATATCTTTTGTCTCCTTTGAGACCACCCAAATGAAATGAAATCAAATATAACCCCAGAAGGAAGGCTCGAGCAAGAGACAAATCTGCAGCAGCTGTGCCAAATAATGATCATCACCAGCCACATCTCTGGTTTCTGCATCGCTGGGATATAAGGCAATGAATTCTGGGGGGGAGAGAGAGAGAGTGCCCAAAACAACCCGGCATCTTGGACAGCCATAATTGAATCAAGCAGAGAGCTACAAACTGTGTATTAGGGGGGGAAAAGCCTCCAACTTTCCTGCATTCTGATAAGTTCAGACCAATCATGGAGAGGCCAGGAAGATGAAGAAAGAGTTAACCACTCACAAACTTCTTTCCTGCGAGCCACACAGATGAACTCTCTCAAATACCCAATTTGAGGAGCCTTCTGAAAAAACCAAAACCACCATCCACTGATAGATAAAGCCCAGCAGAGCTTAACCTCACTTACTGCTACTACTACTACCACTACCTCTTCACACAACAACGACAACAACAACAGACCCAAAGACACTACGGCAACAAATCTTGACATACAAATAAGGTTATACATATATATAAACTCATACTACTATATACCACCTGAATTTCCAGCTTCCGACCACCAATTTAGCGGGGATCCTCCTCTCTCCGGCTGGAATTGCCCGGCCCACCCGACAAGGAAGCCAACAAATTGAGGTGGTGACCTGGCAAGTAATTCCCAACCCTAGCTGCTGAGGCTTCCCCCATGGCAGCGGCCGCCGCAGCCGCAGCTGCTTGCTGCTGGTGAACAAAGAGACTCGAGTGTTGAGCTACCATCTCGTGTGGCGCCGCGGCGTAACCCCAGAAATCGGGCCTGGCCTGAACGGCCCAAAACCCTCCCGGCCCGGCGGCGGCAGTAGGCGCGACGAGGGAATGGCAGACGGGAATCCCACCGCCGTCGTCCTTATGATGTTGCCCTCCTCCATTGGCACCGTTTCCGTTGTTGCCGTTGTGGTCGTCGTCGGCCCGGACCCGCTTGCCGAGTATGAAAGGGGCGGCGCTGAGAAGGGGCTTGTGGTCCATGGGCGAGGAATTCGACAACGACGACAGAGCAGCCAGGGTGGGGCCAGCGGCGGAGCGAACGGAGGCGGAGACGGTGGAGAAGCTCGCCGGAGTCGTCCCGGTGCCCGTCGCGGCAATGATGGACGGCTCCGCCTGGCGGAGCAGCCACTCGATGGTCTGGCCGTCGGACTTGTGGCCCAGCTCGCGGGTCAGCTGGAAAACCCTGGCGGCGCAGATGATTGGCATCCGGATCCTCCTCCCCCTCCCGTCGACCTTGCTGTGCCTGTCCTTCGACGGCGGCTTCTTCACCGCGAGCGCGCCGTTGGTTCCGCCGCCGGCGGAACCAGGAACGATGGCCGTGGAGGAAGTTGTGGTGGAAGGAGGGGGAGCAGAGGAGGCAGGGGAGGGCGGCGGCTGAGAGTGCTGGTGGTGGTGTCTGTGGAGGTGAGGGTGGAATAGAGGGTCGATCATGGCGGCGGCGGCGTCGGAATTGGACATGGTTGATGGAAGAAAAGGATTTGGGAGAAGGAGAAGGGGAGTGGGTGATTGATTGAAGGAGAAGGGAAGGGTTTGATGGTGGTGTGGTTTAGGGGAAGAAGAAGAAGAAGAGGGAAACAGAGAGAGAGCTAATCATTGAGAGGCAGGAGCTGGTGGAGACAGGAGGGAGGGCACATGGGTGGTGGGTCCCTCTTTTTTTTTTTCCTCTGGCTGTGGGGACCACTTAGCCTTACCCCCACAGCTCAGCTCACTCGCTCGCTCGCTCTGTACAGTCGTACTGTTGTTACTGCAGCCCACTGCCGTGTTGGGGAGGGTGGGGAGCACGCGCTGCCTCCTTTTGCCCCGGCCCAGGTATTACTGTATTGAAGTCCACTTCAGTCAGTCAGGTCAGTCTTTCTTTTGCTTGGCCTGTTGGGCTTTCCCTAATTAAATAAAGGAAAAGGCGTGTATAATATATAATATAACTATTTAAAAGAGCCTTATCCTTTTGTTCCGGGAAACAGGGATTAGTTTCTGGGAGATTAAAACGAGTTCGAACCATTCTGTTACGCAAGCAGTGTGTGTGGGTCAGTGTTGCTATTATTACCGTACCACTAATTTGCTGGCGGATTAGAGTTGAACTATGATTTTAAATTTTTAATATGACTGCTCATTTACGCGACATATGTAGATATGATGTTGAAAATCTATAACTTGTAAGATTTCAAGAGAGAATATTTGCATATAACATACATGAGTGTGAGAGAAAGACCATAAGTGTGAACTCCCTTATGTGTATGCAACATCATCGATTGTGCAATAGATTATTTTTGCAAGAAAAAAATGATGAGTATGGTCTGACCTTGAGAAGTAGCTATTAGTTTGAAAGCACTTAAAAGGGATGGGTTAAAGACACATTTGGTCACTGAGATTACAAAATCGGGACATGTTTAGTCACTAGAAAAAGTTAATATCAAATTTGGTCACTACAATTACTAAAACTGGACACATTTAGTCACTCGCCGTTAGTCTCCGTCCAATTCCGTTAATGAAGTCCGTTAAGTGCTGATGTGGCAAACAGAATTGCCTAATCAGCCGGATATAACCCAACAAAAATAAAACCCGACCCGCCACATCATTATAACCCACCACATCAAGGTCGAGCAGACAATCACTGAGATTGTACTGGAGATGTTCCCATAACTCGTGGAGATCTTCGAAGGAGAAAGTTGAGAGTTGAGCTGCGAGAACGACTACTAGTGGGGAAAGGAAGAGGTACATGCCATGAGTGATGAGGTAGTGGTAACCGAGCTTCACGTATTTCAGCTTCACGGATTTCTTGAAATCTGGGAGCTTTCGAGACGATGATGGATGGATCAAGGGTTTGCTTGGTTGAGTCTCAGCCATCTTTTCCCCCATTGCAAACATTAAGAGCAACCCCTAAATCAATCGACAAATTCAGCTTCGACCTATTGATTCAACCAAATCCCTAAATCTGTCTATTGCGTCCCAGATTCAAATCTAAAGCCAGATTCACGATGAAGTCCTGAGCTTTCCCAAGAACAGATCGAACCCAGAAACCAATTCTGTTCATACTTCAAAGATTCGACAAACCCACGAAAAAATTGGACAAGAATTGTTGTCAAAGTAAAAAAGAGATGAGATTGGAAAACTCCGCACCTTGACCAGCTTGGAAATGGAGCTCAGAGATCGCTCGATTCTCCTCCCAGGAGAAAGAGAGAGACCCACCAAGAGACGGATCCGAAATGGATGTGAGAAAGGACTATATATATAGATAAAAAGACAGACAGAGCAAGCTGCTTCCGAACTTCAAAATTTTCGCGGCGGAGAAAAACAGAGTGTGAGGAAAACCCGAAAAAGGGTGAAGATAGAAAGATCGTGGAAAAGGGTAAGGAGATAATAGGCGCCGTCTACGACTCTCAAGCCAATTTATAGGGCAGGGAGAAAGGAGATGGTGGCGGCCGCTGGCGAGGCGCGGTGGCGATGATTTAGAGGAGGTGGGAGGTGCCGAGGTGGGAGGTGGGAGGAAGGAGGAGAGCGGCGGCGGTGGTTTTGGGGAAAGGAGGTGGGAGGTGCCGAGGTGGGAGGAAGGAGGAAGAAGGGTTGGGTGGAGTTGGGTCATGGGTTGAGTTGGTTTTAATGACGTGGCGGGTCGGGTTTTATTTTTGTTGGGTTATATCCGACTGATTAGGCAATTCTGTTTGCCACATCAGCACTTAACGGACTTCATTAACGGAGTTGGACGGAGACTAACGGCGAGTGACTAAATCTGTCCAGTTTTAGTAATTGTAGTAACCAAATTTGATATTAACTTTTTCTAGTGACTAAACATGTCTCGATTTTGTAATCTCAGTGACCAAATGTGTCTTTAACCCTAAAAGGGATGAATCATTCATTCAGGTCACACAATATGAGTTAGTAGATTGGATCGAGACGTTCATTACAATTCTTATCAAGCACAATAAGTTCGGATACAACGTACAATTTGAGTACATCATTATGTAAAATACGGGGGAAAAATACAACTTGAATCGAGAACTTCATTACAATTCTTATCGAGCTCTGTGGCCAACATTCAAGGCGAGGAAGCCCGAAACCGCCATCGCTGTGACTCATCTTCTTAAACAAGCCGGTAACTGAGCTAACAACGACGTCGGATTGAGGTTTAGTGTGTAAAACTGTAAAACATGCAACCGTTTTTTCGCACGGGTGGCAAGAACAAAAAAGGGGAATTAGGAAAAGAGAAGGGAAAACGTGAATCTCGCCGGGCACGTACGGTGGCGGGAAGGAAGAAATGGCGCGTGGGGGTGGGAGATTAAGCTAAGCCCTGCTTTTTTTGTTGATTGATTATTATTTAATTGAATTCAAATGTGGGGATTGAAATGAGTGATTTGGAGTTAGTCTCTGATTAGATAGAAATGACACCTGGCATCGCTCCTCCATTTACGCGATTTGCTCCTTAAACTCGCTCTTTGTTTGCAGCTCGGCGGCATACAATGATCCAACGTCCAAGTTTCTTCCCCCTAGACAGACCTTTTCTTGTGGCCGTTGGATTAGAATCCAACGGATAACGAAGCTCTCCCTTCTCTCTCTACTTTGTTAAGAACTTGAGAAAAGCGCGCGTCTCATCCCGCCACCTTTCGCTGGACAACTGGAGCCAGTAGTCCTGGTTTGGGGACAATATTGTCCTTTCGTCCTAAACATTGAACACACTTTTTTTTTTAAGAAATTTGAACACACTTATTGCATACCATTTTTTCAACTTTATTATTCGCGATTAATAACTCGATCCGGTCAATAATCTAACAGGGTAGTTATTTGTTGGCTAATCATCATAAACGGTTTAATAAAATCGTCGGAAAAATAACAAAGGGGTCATTTCGTCCATTTTCATTTGAAAATCCGTTAGTTCACTCAAGTCAGCATGTCGCGTCAAAAAAAATTAATAAAAACCTAATTATCAAACCAATTAAACCCAACCAAACCGAAAATCCGTTAATATGTTACCTCTTCTCCCCGCCGGTGTAATACTCATGGGGCTTAGAAACATGTGTTTATAAAAGAGTTTGAGATTGTGGTTCCCAACACACCAATACCGAAACACTCTCATCCTCTTACCATAAAAAAAAAATCAAAGGTCTCCCATAAAGGTTTGATTGAAAGTTCCAAAACCTGCCGAATCGTACCCTAGATATATGGTCAGATTGCAAAATCTCTTTCAAATTCTCAATGATAATTCTTAAAACACATATATGCCCGTCGGGTGCATTCAACCATTAACCACATGTACACACCACTAACCATAACCGTATCACTGATACGGGTTTCGGGTTCAGCAAAAAATCTGGCCAGACAATTTTGATTAGAGATTAAGTCAACGTCATTAAATTATACCAAGTCTATCGACGGGCTTGGCTTCTTGGGTGTTATCTTATTGTCAAACTATAATGACCACGTGTTACCGCCGGGATTAATTAATAGATATCAGGACGAGTAGGTAAAAACGAATTAGCATTCTCACAGCGGTGGCAGGCAGGTGATTGTATAAAATTTAATCAAAACGTGATTAAGTTAGTTAGTTATCATGAAGGAGAAGCGATACCAATTTGGGGTCGGGGAGTGGTGTTTATTGATGATTATCGTCCTCAAAATCAATCATTAATTAAAGGATTAAGATTAAGTTGCCCCCTTCTCTTTGTCTCTGAAATTCAAATCAATGTCTGGGGGTGAGGGGGATTGCCGTTGGCCCTTGCCAGTCACTGGCGGCCAAGTGGATGGCTGCTGAGGTGGCTGAATTGAAATTGAAAATGAAAAATCCTCTCCTCTGTGTTTTGTCCGTTTGCTTGGATTTTTATCTGTTTTTAGGATCCTTCAGCTCAACCACCATAATCCAAAATTAATCAACCCTCTTTCTCTCTCTATATATACAAAGCAGAAGCTAATTATATTAGATTCCTTTCCACCAAATCCAGCATTATTATTATCATATATATAAATAAAGAAAAGCAAAAACAATAACAAGTCGAAAATCAAAACAAACCCACTTCCTCCATCCCTGATTCCCTGTTAAAACCTAATCAGCATTTCCTTCTTTTTCTCACGCTAGTCTGAACTATATACATAAAATTAATTAGCAAGTTAGACGGACAATGTTGTCCACTGTATTATCCTCTCAATTAGCATCACGTCACAGTACACCTGCCCACCGCCGAGCATTCTCAATCTTGTGATTCACTGTGATGGGTCATCTTCGAATGATCCCCCAGGTGGCGACTTATGGCATTGCTCATTCAATCGCCATGGTCTTGTCTGTTTCGAGAGAGTTGAAACCATGCTTTGTTGCTGATTTAATTTGGTTGCTAGTGGAAGCAACAGATGTTTGATACCACTCTGGTTTGGCTCCTGCGATGGTCTATTTTGCCGGTTTGTTCAGTCGTTGTTGTGGCTCTCTTTTCGGTTGGGATTGTGCTTCCGATTATTAGAGTTTCATTATTGTTTGTTCCATTTCTCCTGGTGTAATCAACCTCTTATAACCGTTATTTTCAGAGTTCAATATAGGCAGATTCACCTCGTTAAAAAAAAAAAAAAAAACCCCAGTACACCTGACACATGCAATTATACTTAAACATACGAGCTGTCCCAAATATTGGAGGGACTTGACCAGTGTGACAAGTACAATTTGCTTAATATTATATGATTAGGATTGTAGGATTAATGTGGGTTTAGGGAAATGGTGGCGGGGATCGTGGCATGGGTCTACTAATCTACTTACTACTACCCCATATATATAGTAGCTATAGGCCACGAGGGTGGCACATTCACAATCACAAGGAAAAAGTGCAAATTTGTCTCAAATGCCCTAATTACCCGGCCCAAATCAAATTCTTAATTAAACAAGAAGGGACCGCCGGGGCGGGTTTTAAGTTGGGTTTAGGGTCCGGGTCAAAGTCGGGGACCCAATTATATCTTATTGTTGCTTTGTTTTCCTCATTAGCACCAAACATGGGATCCATGGCAGGCCACCATTTCTGCAACAGCTGATTCCTCTGTGACTTATTAAGTTAGGTCAATTTTATTTTCCTTCTCTATGGGCCACTACGTAGGCAGTAAGTTAGGTCAATTTTTTTGGTTTGTTTGTGTTGGGTTGGTTGCTAATCGGGTAATGATGCCAAGTTTGCATGGACGTAAACATAAACATGTCTTTCTTTGACCACTAAAGTGATGGGGTGATGTCATAATTAATGGCTTGATTGACTAATCGATGTGCGTAATTACGTGGAAACTAAGTACACCAGTGAAAGTGATTTAGGGTTAAGTCATTATATAGCCAGCCCCATGTGGTCATTTTTAGTTGGTTTCCAGCTTAGAATGAAGTGAAGGACCGACACCGGACAGGAGGGAGTTAGTTGTTAGTTGTATGGCTTGTGTTTTTGCCACGTTGGTTAGTTATAATCCAGATATTATTATGGTAGAGACTCATCAGGTTGTTGTCAGTGGGTTTTTAATACCACATCATGCATGTGTCTCAAATCTACAATGTTTGGAAAATATTAAACATGGATGGTGTGATCATAAAACCATATGAATATTTAAATAGAAGACTTATTCTCAATTTTATTTGTTGGTTCAATATTTATGTCGGTATCGCCCTATGTCGGAATTTGGGTTTTGAGATGATCACGCGGATCGCGACGAGGTTACGTTGCGGTCGTGAGTTAAGATCATGGCGCGAGTTTGGAATTAGATCAGGCGAGACAAAGATTAGGCGAGGCAAGATATATACACTGCAAGATTCATGACATTTCCAATAGACCGAGTGCACCTAAGCGGTTGAACGGAGCAACCACCACTTTGGAGTAGAGGGGAGCGATTATTTGTAGTTGTTATCAAGCAGACGGTTATGCAAGATGGTTAGACCTTCATTCCTATAATTAAGAGAGGAGCTCGATGGAGTTAAGAGTTCTCAAAACAGCACAGCTGACGTTGTCTACGTCAAGTTTTTATCTTTTCTTTATAATATAATCATAGCCGTAGTTTGGAGCTCTTGTTGAACCTCGGAGTAGTAGAAGTAATTTAATTTAGTTTGATTTAAAAAAATTATCAATCAAACAACCACGTTCGAACTTTGTTTGAAAAAGTGTGAGTCATGTCTTGCAACCGTTGTCCAATTTAGTCAAAGTGTATCATCTCAATTCAACGCAAGTTTTCCCACAAGAAAACAAAATCAGACCCGGATATAATAAAAAAATCGCCTCATTTTATTTTTGGTACAATATGCAATATCGCCCTATATGGGGTTTGATTTTGATTTTCATGAACACAATACATCTCACGATCAAGACACCTTACAAAAACCACGAAAGCCAATTTTTGACAATGAAAGCCAATTCACTACACAAGTTGCTGCACATTTTGTAGTTAGGAGATTGAATAATTGATAAATCGGAGAAATCAAATGCGGTGGCTGCCATTAAATTAAATGAAACAAGCTGAAATTGGATTGGCACATATATATTCCCCTGCGTATCTTTTCCTGTACATAACGCGTTTGACATTATATATATATAAACAAACGCCATTATATTATTATTGTATTATTGTTATAAAATATTCCCTCCCCAGACACGATAATCCATATCGATGATCCTATTATAAGACCCTGTTTTGTCGTGGTTAGTGTCATCAATTAGTACACATAAATACGCTATTTTTTTTAGAGATTAGGAGCAAAAATTAAGAATACTAATCATGATTCATGATGATTATATATATATTAATCAGGGAAGGACCATAAAGGGAAGACCGCTTCATGCACCTTTGGAATTTTGATAAATGATATATGATTATATAATATAGTCCCCACTCAAAAACCCAATATTAAAAAAAGGAGTGGGTGGGGGCCATTAATTCTTTAACTAATCTTCACTGACCCTGCCTGGTATATTAAAATAGATCATGATCTTATTATTGTCATACCAAATGTTAATTATCCAATTGAATTATTTTTTATTTTGTATATCCATGAACAGCAGTTTTAGCGATCCAATTTACAAGCCACATTTCCTCAAAACATGGGGGCCGCCTCCAGTCTATGTTACCTACAATCTACATGCAATCGTCACTTAAATTTTTTTTAGGTCATTACCTCCTATGTAATTGGGATTAACATGTATAATATATTAATACCTACATACCTAGGAGTGTGCAAAGGGTTGATCTGTACGGGCAGCACCGAACCAAATGGTAAAATACACGAAAATTAGAATATAATATTGTCTGGTCCTTGGTTCAATAAATTATGTAAATACTGCAGAAAATTGGACCAAATATATATTTGGACCGGATCTAAGCGGAATGAACGCATTATTGTTCCGATCCTTGATCCTACAATGTCTTTCACTATTAGACCGCGGTTCTCTTGAGTTTTAATTGATCCGGACCGTTACACACTCTGCTTTCTGGAGTTTTCAACGGAAGCTAATAAAAAAAACATCCCGTTCTCACTACAAAGTCGTGAATCGTTGAACAATTGTGTGTTTGGGGTAACTAATGAATGAATTGACAAGTAAACAAAAGGCCACGGAATTGAATTGAATGGAACAGCAAAAATATATATGTTTGAAAAATATTGCTCGAGAAGGGGTATTGTCGTAAATTAGAATGACAGGAAAAATAAATAATATAGCAGAGAGAGAAATCAATCAAATAGACGTAGCAGCAGTAGTAGGAGCTTGATAGCGAGAGGAGAGAAAGGATATAATATTGTAGAGAGACAGAGAAGAAGATTGTCAAATATATACAATACAGCTGGATGGCGGGCCCCTCCAACCTCTCACCTGTTTTTGGAACGATTTGATGAAAATGAGAGCACCCCCGCTGGAAAATAAAATCTCCCTCAATAATGCAGTTTGTAGATTGTAGTCACGTCCTGCGTATTTCTTTTAGGGAGTTGCTAAAGGTCGCCCTTAAAATTGCTAAAGGTCGCCCTAAAAAGAATAAAAGTTACACTTTTAACCCCCATAGCTTCTTTACCTTCCCTTCCTCAAACAAACATCACTTGGACTAAAAAAACACTCTCTAAGGAGAGAAAAATCTCTCATCGTCATTTTGAAGCCGATATCGTCGATAGGACGTCTGAATCATGAGTAGCGACTCCGACGAGGTAAGAACATGAACAAAAAAAAAAAAAAAAACAGAAAATGGGAACCGCGGGTGATTTGCGGTCCGACCATGGTCCAACCGCAAGTGACCTGCGGTTGAACCATGGCTGGACCGCAAATCACCTGCGGTTGAGCCATTGGTGGACCGCAATTGACCTGCGGTTGGACCATGGTCGGACCGCAAATCACCTGCGGTCAGCCGCTGGTCGGACCGCGCGTTGACCGCAGGTCCAACCGCGCGTTGACCGCGGTTAACCGTCGGTCAAACCGCGCGTTGACCGCGGTTCGTGCAATTTTTTTTTTTTCTTACCTTCTTCTCCACGCGGCTGGAGGCGACGGGGCGGCGACGGGAGGCGACGGGGCGGCGACGGGAGGCGACGGGGCAGGCGACGGGAGGCGACGGGGCAGGCGACGGGCGGCGACGGGGGCGGCGGGCTGGCGGCGGGAGGCGACGGGGGCGGCGGCAGGGGGCGGCAGGGGGCGGCGGGCTGGCGTCGCCGGCGGTGGCAGGGGGCGGCGGGCCGGCGGCGGGCTGGCGTCGCCGGCGGTTGAGGGGGAGGGAGTGCAGAGGTGAGGAGTTGGGGGGAGGGGGAGGGAGAATGAATTTTTGAATTTGCCTTAAGGGCTTGTTTGTTTTGAGTTTTTGCTTAAGGGCATGTAGGTAATTTTATATTTTAGTTAGGGCGATGTTTAGCAATTCTTAGGGCGACATTTAGCGATTCAGTTCTTTTACACATACGTCTGCGTAAATAATAATCTAATCAAATGCAAAATCAGACGCTCAAGATCAAAACACATTTCTAAAAATGACCACAGAAGCAGTTGCTGGTTTCCAGATTAGCAATACCAGTAATTCATCAGCGGGAATCTAACATTCCTCCAGAGCCAAGTAAAGTCATGGAGGACAACTCAAACTAACTTGTTCAGAATGATGTTTTTCTGGTTCAAACGAATTGGCCAAGAGTAGTCGTCTTCCCTAAGTTTCACTTGGGATGACGTTGAAGAAGTGGTACACCTCCTCCTCGTCCCTCACCCCAACCTGTGTATCACAAACCGAGCACCCAACTCGGTCCACTGAACTTGCTGAACCATTTCCTTCGCTGCTTCTTCCCCTGCTTCCAACTCTGCTGGCAGGCTTACCGCTTCCTCCTCCTTCTTCTGTTCCATCCACTGCCATATGATCGCCCTGACTCTCGACATTGCAGTTCATAACAGCTACGGCTCTATACTGTGTCACGTACCTTTCGTGCCTCTGGGATTGGAGGGAGACGGTGGTGAAACAGGCAGGGCAGCTCAGAACGGCGTCGGAACGGCGGTTGCCTTGCCTCTGTTTCCCAACCCAAGCTTCATCCCTCTCGTCGAGCTTCGGGTCGTAGAACTCTGGCTTCACGCTGTAGTCTATCTCTTCGTCGGATGACGACGACGCCGCGGCATCTGCAATCGGTCCGGATAGTAAAAGTGAGGGTCGGTAATTTGATAGGAACAACAACAGAAGCAACCGAATTGGGGGCCGGAATTGAAGAATTAAATTGAATCCTAGTTCGATTGGGGATTGAACAATGAGATCGCGAATTGAATTGAATCCCATCGAGCTAGGGTTTACGAGTTGCTTACAAGATTGAGTTTGCTGAGAAGTAGGAGGAGGGGACTGCTCCATGTTTTCGATTCAGCGCCGGGAACTTTCTAGGTTCTTGTATTGCGAAACGGACGATGGCTACGACGTCGTCTCAGTAACGCGCACGGTCGCTGCCCGTCTCCGCCGCCGGTGGCAACTAATCACAGAGTGACTCTGTAGGGCGTATCCCAGCTCCAGCGGAAAACAAGACGAAACGAAGGAGACCCTTCTTTCCTTCCTACGGACTTCTTACATCCCGCAGCACCGGGCCGGCCCGGCCCATCTTGATTCCTGGGCCGAGCTATCTGATGCGGACCCTCCTAATGACCCACACAAACACCGTACATCTTTGTTGCCGCCATGGTTAATTCGCAGAGAACCAAGGTAATATGTCCCTCCGATAAAATTGGAACGATACAGATGGGAGGTAATACAATACAACGTTCATCCTTGGGCTAGAAGCCTAGAACAACCTTTGTCCTCCTCGTCCGAACAACATTCATCCTTAAGGCATGAGAGACTCGTATCGCGAATAGTTGTGCAAACATAGGGAAGAATTGCGCGGGATCCTCGTGCAATTGCGTATTGGATCACCTGGAAATCGTGGGAGCATCACCTTTGAGCGTATGTTACGATAACTCAGTACCACAACACCACAAAGAATGTAAAAGTAGCCAGTTCGTAGGGGTCTAAGAGTACAAGATCATATAAAGACGGTTAAGTATGTGAATCACAAAATCAATGTGATCTGCCCTGTGTATGTATATTTTCACCCAACCAACCAACCAACCAACAAACCAACCATAAAAGTTAAAACACAAAAAATCAAGAGACAAGAAAAAGAGAAACAACCCTAACTTTGCTTCGAATTCAATTCATTCGATCCATCCAAAACCTAATCCCTCACTCTCATCTTCTTCTTCACCTTCTTTCTGTAATACACACTTGTTCTGGCTGTCCCCTTCCTTTGCTTGCCCCTTGTAACAAAAACAAAAGTGACACCTCTACTTGCTTCCCCTTCGCTCCATCTTTTCATGACCTGGAAAAGGAGTTCGGTAGACAAAACAAATTAAATGGTCAGGAAAGTATAACAAACCTAAGAACAACAAGTCTGATCTCAAACACTTAAACCCTAGCCTCTTCACTGGAGTTGCATTCGCTGACATTAAATGGCACAATGTATTCTTTCCAGCTACTTCAGAAGGAAATTCTGCACCATCAGGCTAAAGATACACACAGCTTGCGATTGTGTACTTCCTAGGCAAGTGCTGACTGAAAACGGAAATCCCCTCTCCTCCCGACAAAGAACAAGAAACCCACATCCGACTTCCATGACTCACAAAATATCCATTTGGAGAGACGAAATAATGACCATGTACCGCTACCATAAAGTACTGTCTAATGCAAGTGGAAAAGGATATCACGAAGAGTAGAACAGAATGGACACACAGACACAGTCCAGAAATCTCAGGAAAAGGGAGCACAGCTGCAACATGCACTTACTCAAAACCTAGAATTTGAAACAAATGGCCACTACTAATCCCAATGTCTGGGCCAGGGAAGTATAAAATACGAAAGTATATAACAAACCTAATCATAAGAGCACTCCAAAGTCCAAACAACATAAGCAACCCACCTGTGCTACATCATACTCCCAATAGAATGCCACTGTCACAATCTATAAGTAAAAGATTGGAAAGTCACCAGGTAATGTCTCCACAAGTTCCACTTTGCTCAACTTACATCAACCAGCATTCTTAATATTCGTTCAACAAAAAGCCGTCGAGAAACACACATATAGGGCCAAGCTAGCCATAGAATAACGAAATCAGGGCACCTCAACAACATCTAAGACTTGCATATGAAAGAGTAACATCTACCCAGAAGTTGACAGAAAAGTTATAATGGTTGGGGTCCTAGGTAAACATGTATTCTTGCCTCAACGGGAGGGTGGGCATAATGACAAATTCCAAAGCATCTCAATTTTGCAACTTGGTATGGAAAATCTTCAGAACACTCGAGAACAATGAACGTATACCCTCAATTTTAAAGCTGATACTTCTCCTCCAATCATACTCCGGGACCTCATTAAGTAACGAATATCAAGATGAACAGGCTTAAGGTAATTGATTCAGCTCAACAATTAAGAATAAAAATCCCAAAGATTCAAACTATACAGAGTAATTGCTATGTTTCTATGGTCAATCTTTAGACAATGAATGAAAGGAAAGATAACAGGAAAATAAACAACTAACCCAATTGGAAATCAGGCACTACTTTGGCCGCCACCAGCTCCCCCATCGCTGCTGGAACCACCTTGTCTGCCGAACGGCCACGGCAACTGAATGCTAAACCTTCTCTCCGTCCGACCTCCAGCATCGGGGCTCTGGGTGTTGCCCCCTTGGTCACCGTTGCGCCTCCTGGTCTCGTACTCGGAATCATCCGTGGGCAACTCGTAGCGGCAAACTGGGCATGAATTGTGCAATTCAAGCCAGGGGACAATGCAATCAGGATGATAGACATGCTTACAAGGCATCTGTTTAGCCTCATCCCCGGTCTCGAACTCATCCTTGCAGACAGCACATTGATTCATCTCAGAACTCTGGGCCTCGCCGGTGATCTTGACGGTAGGGAGGGCGTCGATTGCTGATTTCGCAGCAGGAGGAGTTCCGTAGCGGTTGGGGTCGTTCTCTGCCAGCTGCTGGATCAATTGCTCGAGTCCCGGGCCGATGAAGTAATCGCCGAGGTTGCCAGCGGGAGGATTGTTGTCCATGAAGAACTGAATTCTGGCGCCGTCGTTGTGGAGGTTGTTGAGGTAGTTGCGGAGGAAATCGTGGGGGTTGAATTCGGCCTGATCGGAGGGCGATCGCTGGGCGCCGAAGATGTTAGGGTTTTGGAATTCGAAGGTCGCGGAGCCACCGTGGGCGGAGGAGGAGGAGAAGAGTAGAGGGAGGAGGGAAAAGGGGCTCATGGGAGGGAAGAAGGCATCGCCGAAGGGGTCGGCTGCTGCGGCGGAGGAGAGATTTGGACCGGGGTTAGGGTTTTCAGCCTCCTCTAAGAAACCTTCGTTGCAGGAAGGGCATAGGGGATCGGAGGTCGGGGATACGGATATGGTGACCGTGCGATTGCATTGGTAGCAGAAGAAAGCCTTTGGTACGGAGGCGGGAGGAGGGCGAGCTGTGGCGGCGGCGCCACCTCCGCCGGTTGGAGTTCCTGCGGAAGACATCGGGGGAGAGAGGAAGACAGGACGAAGAAGAAGGGGAGACTTTTCTCTCTCTATCTGCGCGGCCGGCCGTAATAAGCCGAATATGAACTGGATTAATTGGGGAAATTGTGAATTATTGGAGTATTATAAACGTGCAGTTGAATTTACAACACAACTAACTTACATTTATAAAATATTAAATAATAGATTTTTTTAAATTGTTACATGTCGGTTTTCCTTATTGTTAGTGGACAGACAACTGGGCAGGCTTATGTTGTACGTAGATTTGGGCCGCGATTCGCGGGTTTGTTAAGAAAAATGTCTAAGAAGCCCATGGGTATAAGTCGAATGGGTTTCCCAGTGAGCTCCAACGAGCTACCCAGCCCCACTTTGTCCAAAAGCTGCTTGAGTGTTGAGAGTGGGTTTGTTAAGAAAAATGTCTAAGAAGCCCATGGGTATAAGTCCAGACAAAATCAAGTGGGGGAAAAAAAATCGATTCGGATTTCGGAGTATGAGTCTGTCATTGGTTAATTGGTTGAAGTTTAACCACTTAAGAGTAATAGTTGATGGCTAAATATGTTACCACCTTTGTTTGCATATCCAAAAATCATTATCCATTTGTGATTTGTGAGTTATTTGTTAGATACCTCCTCATCAATTTGTAGTAGTTTTTAGTGCAATCGCAACCATCCATTCAACTCTAACCTTTAGCACAACCACAACCACCAATCTAGCTCACACGATCCCTCCAAAACCTAATCTCTCACTCTCTTCTTCTTCTTCTTCACCATCTTTCTGTAATACACACTTGTTCTGGCTGTCCCCTTCCTTTGCTTGCCCCTTGTAACAAAAACAAAAGTGACACCTCTACTTGCTTCCCTTCCCTCCCATCTTCTCATGACCTGTAAGAAGAAATCAAATATGCTAGCGTTTTTGGTGAAGAGGACTCAAAAACTGAGTTCTTCATTTTCTGGATTGCCCATATATATATGTACAGAGGAAACAGAGTTAACGGCTAATCTACAGTGCTTATTAACTAACAAATCAAACTATTCACTAACAAAACGATATCTGTCTATTTACTAACTAATTGCACTCGACCAAAGGAAACGTCACCGTTCTGGGTCTTCTACTAATTCCAGAACTGAAGCAGAACGCTGCCGTTTCTCAAAGCATCATAGTGGTCTTCGTGTTCTTCATTCAGCAGCAGCTCTAGCTGTTCTTCATGCCCTCATCTGCTTTATGCTGCTGCTCAGGAGCATTCTCCATTACCCCCCCCCCCCCCAACAAGCTGGCGATTGTCGACCTGATACTCCCAGCTTGCTAATCAAATAATTGAAGCGATATATTCCAAGACTTTTAGTAAAGAAATCTGCCAATTGATGCAAAGTAACAATGTGATGCAAATTGATCAAACCATTCACCAAACGTTCTCTAATCACATGACAATCCACTTCAATGTGTTTCGTGCATTCATGAAACACAGGGTTGCGGGCAATATGAATTGTTGACTGGCTGTCATAATAAACCATGGCAGGAAAAGAATGATCAATTCCAAAATCTGCAAGTAATCTTACTAGCCACTGTATCTCACAACTGAGTAGAACTTTTAGCTCTATACTCAGCCTCAGAAGAAGACCGAGATACAGTGCTCTGCTTCTTTGTTTTCCAACTTATCAAACCTGTGCCTAAGAAGACACAAAAACCAGTCAAGGATCTCCTTGTATCTGGACATGTAGCCCAGTCTGAATTGCTAAAAACCAATCAGTTGCAAGAAAGAACTTGATGAGTAGAAGATGCCCTGACCTGGACAATTTTTCAAGTATCTGAATACTCTCTGTAATGCTTTGAAATGCACAATAGTAGGTGAGTCCTGAAACTGACATAACTGCTAAACAACAAAAGTAATGTCAGGCCTTGCACTGGTGAGATTCTGCAACTGACCAAGTAGATGTCTGTAGTGGCTAATGTTAAGATAAGGATCTCCCTCATTAGTTGATAACACATGCTTCACACTGGAAGGGGTCTTGGTTAGTTTACATTCATAAAAAACAGCCTCCTTCAAAAGCTCAATGCAATACTTCCTCTGTGAAACATGAATCCCCTATGCTGACCTGTTAATTTCCAGACCAAGGAAATATTGCAAGCTGTCAAGGTCCTTCATCTTAAACAAAAACTTCAACATCTCTTTCACATGCATTATTGCTGCTAAATCCACACTTCCAAGTACAATGTCATCTACGTAGACAATAACAACAACCATATGACCTTTAATGTCTAAGAAAAATGGAATAGTCTGCCTTTGACTGCCTGAAACCATTGGCCAATAGGGGTTCAGTTAGCTTAGCATACCACATCCTACTAGCCTGCTTGAGGCCATACATAGACTTTCTCAACTTGTAGACCTTCCCTTTATACTCTGGCTTTTCCCTCAACCCCTGTGGAAGTTCCATGTAAACATCCTCTTCCATATCACCATTCAAAAAAGCATTGTTTACATCCATTTGGTGTAGGAGCCAATTCTTAATGGAAGCAACGACTAACAAAGTTTTTACTGAATACAATTTGGCAACACGAGAAAAGGTATCACAATAGTCTATGCCATAGACTTGTGTATACCCTTTGGCAACAACTCGAGTGTTAAACCTCTCAATGCTTCCATCCTGGTGGAATATAGTCTTGTACACCCATTTATTCCCTACTGGCTTGACCCCCTTTGGCAAGTGAGTGATGTCCCAAGTGTGGTTTTCAAGTAAAGCTCTAAGCTCATCAGTCATAGCTGCACTGCAACGAGGATCCCTGACTGCTTCAACATAACTGGTAGGTTCCACATGGGTGGCAATAGTAATAGCAAAATGTTGTTGTTGAGGAGTCAGGTGAGCAAGATCAGAGGGAATGCAGGTGGGACCAGAACCGACTTGCAAGGAATCCACATAGAAGTCATCATACTTCTTAGGAAACACACAATACCTTGTGGACTTTCTAAGTGGTACTACTGGTGTAGGTGGAGGAGGAGAAGACGCAGGAGCAGTGGAAGAGGAAGGGAGATAAGAAGAAACAGGTGATGGTGAAGGAACATGGAATGGGGAAGGTGTGACAACAGAAGGAGAAGAAGTTGTCAACTCAAACTCAATGGTAGACCAGAATTCTGAACAAGAGGAATCCTGAGGACAAAAGAAATTGGGAGTAGTTGACGGGTGTTGTGAACTATCAACTTGAGAAAAGGAAGGAGATGCAGAAGAGCCCTTAAAGGGCAATATATCTTCATAGAACACTACATCTTTATTAACAAAACACGTTTAGTTTATAGTTCCCGCAACTTAAAACCCTTAATACCAGTTGGAATGCTTAGAAAAACACACTGTTTAGTCCTAGGATCGAACTTGTGTTTGTGACCTTCTATTGTAGTGGCATAGGCTAAACAATCAAACACCCTAAGGCTCATGTAATCTGGTGGGGCTTTGTATAACATCTCAAAAGGTGTTTTGTGGTTCAAAATTGGGGTATGTGTGCGATTGATTAGGTAGGCTGCATGGAGGACAAAGTCACTCCAGTAAAGAAGAAGTAGTCCTGATTGGAACTTTAGGGAACGAGCTACATTCAAGAGGTGTTGATGTTTTCTTTCAACACGACCATTTTGTTGTGCTGTATAGACACATCTCATCTCATGAACAATACCATGAGCAGTGTAAAAATCTGTCATGTGGAACTCCTGGCCTTGGTCCCTGCGAATTGTTATGATTGGGAGCTTAAATGGTGTATGGACCATCAAACAAAAAGACGGGGGGGGGGGGGGGGGGTCTAGCCTCTCCCTTAGATTTTAAAAGGAACACCCAAATAGCTCTACTGTAGTCATCAACCACAGTTAGAAAATAGGAAAAACCATCTCTGGAAACAGTATTGAGGGGACCCCAAATGTCAACATGAAGGAGCTCAAAAGCCTTCAAACTAACATAAGTACTGATAGGAAAGGGCAATCGTTTCTGTTTAGCAAAATGACAGACTTCATAGTGGGAATGAGAAGGTAATTCTACTTTATTACAATGTTGTTTTACTACTTTTAGTCTAGACAATGAGGGGTGTCCTAATGTGGCATGCCAAATGTTAAAATCCTGACTCTGTAGGTTGTGTACTCCTGCTGCAAAAGCTTTGGACTCTGTAGGGT